ACACACATATTTTACATCATCAGATAAAAAGCAAGACACAGATCTGAACTCTGTTGTCATCTCTAAGGACCTTTACGACGTAATTTAGCTGTAAAGTAGTTTAATATTTGGTTGACATTAAAAATGTTTGTCTTAGAGGTTGAGGTTCATTAAAACACACGAGTCTCCCTGTTTTAGAAGTTAGCTGTCCTGCCGTTCAGTCCCCTCACGGTTTCATCCGAGAAGACGCCGCGACACCGAAAGAAGCTGATCTCTCTAAATCCTTATGTAAATGTTCATTTGTGTGTGATTTTCCTGCCATCCAGGAGCTCTAGTGAACAGGATCTACCCACTGCCACGAGTTGCAAAACTGGGCTTCGCGAGGAGACAGTGTTTTAAATTATTCCAGTTCATTCAGTGCAATCCCAATGATTTTATTTTGCCCGGTGATCTCATTTCCTGCAGGATTTAATTTATTTTTATTGCCCTTGTCATTTCAGGCATCGTCATTGTGCTCTAGGCAGCATTACATTTTTGCGATCGCTTTGTGTTTGTGTGTGAGGATTTTTATATTCTGAAGGATTTTTTTTTTTTTTTCAATCCCACACTTCATTTGATTTAATTTAGTTTGACCATTTGGAATGAACTTGCAAATTTAAAACTTACAGGGTGAAGTAAAAAAAGACAGTCTACTGATAGAGAAACGCTCAATAGGCTAATAACAGCTGTGTCATTTCATAATATTTGCTTTGAATCCTGAGACCCACTGTGAAAAATAAGAATACACACAAAAACGATAAAAATAAAAAGCAGTGTGTTTTTGTGCTGGATCCAACAAATCCTGTCTTTTCTTGGGGTTTCAGTCTCTGCAGCATCTTTTCTGTTGCAGTGTGAAACGCCTGCAGCCTCTAACTATATATTTACTGCAGAAGAACAGGTTTGGACCCGCGGGCCATTTCGCAGCCTTTTTCTTTTGAGTGCTGGGGTTATGAATAGAGCCGGCTGTGAGTGGATCTCTCTTGGCTTCAGCCGCACTTCATCACCGGCTCTTTGTAGCGGAGGTCCGAGTATCACTGCAGCCACTACAGGCCAGTGAAGCCAACCGTTTCCAGTTCTGTTCAGTAAATGAGACCAATAATTAGCCAACAGGAATGTATAAACAGTTTAGAAATGATCCCGATAGAAGATGACAGGTTGAAATAATACGTAAAAGTAACTAATGGATAGACGTTAAGATAATTATCTAAATTAGCTAACAATAACCTAATAGATAAACATTTGTAATGACAGGCTAACAGTATGCTAATGGATAAACAGCTAAAAATAATAAGCTAATGAATAAACGCTTGAAATTATAACATAACATTAAGCTAATGGATAAACAGTTGAAATGACACGCAAACAAAAAGATATTAAAATAATTAGCTGAATTAGCCAAGCCAACAGTTAGCTAATGGGTACATGTTGGACATAATAAGGGAACAGTAAGCTAATGGCTAAACATTTGAAATAACGGGCTAACAGTGTGCTAATGGATAAACAGCTAAAATGATAAGCTAATGAATAAATGCTTGAAACTATAAGAAAAGAGTAAACTAATGGATAAACAGTTGCAATAACACTCAAAAGGTAAGCTAACTAAAAAGATAAGATGTTAAAAAATAAATTAGCTAAGTAACCAGTAAGCTAATGGATAAATGTTTGAAATAATGAGCGAACGGTAAGCTAATGAATAAACAGCTAAAATGATAAGCTAATATTGAGCTCATGATTAAACATTTGAAAAAAATAAGAATATAACAGTAAGCTAATAAATAAATAAACACACAAAAGGTAAGCTAACTAATACATTTTTGAAATAAGCCAACAGTGAGCTAATGGATAAATGACTGAAAAATAAAGGAACAGTAAGCTAATGGATAAACGGTTGAAGTGATATGCTAACAGTAAGCTTACAGATAAACAGTAGAAATAACAAAAGGGGATGGATAAAAAGCTGAAGTGATTCACAATCTAAATATATGTTCATGGGTAAATAGTTGAAAGAACGAGCTAAAAGTGATAAAACATGGTTGAAATAGATGCAAAGCAGTGGAAATGATTTACTAAAGGTAAACTGCTTAATGGATGTATGGTTAAGATAAGCATGGGTAGATAGAACAGTTGAAAAACCATCAAAAGGTATGAATAAATGTCAGCTCCAAGTTTGAATGCAAACTTGTGGCGTATGTGAAAGTACTTGTGTTCGTCTGACACGACTGTGGGGGTGAATCAGACAGAAAATGCAGCGACTTACTGCTAAATGGCAAACACTGACTGGAACTAAGCTGCAGCTGATCTGTCCAAATGCCATTTCAGTTTGGTTAACCTTCTGCAGAATTTCCTGCAACAACACCATTTAAAAATATATATATATCTCCAATGTTTTAAAGCAAATCTTCCTCTGAAAATGTTTTTGAGCTGCCATAAGTGGAAGTGTGACATGCTGTCTGAGCTAATGTGTGCTGTATGTCCATCTAGGTGTTGGCTCTGTTTGAAGAAGGAGAGGAGACAACCACCGCCTTCGTGGAGCCTGTTGTCATTCTTCTTATCCTCATCGCCAACGCTGTCATTGGGGTCTGGCAGGTGAGATATGCTCCTCACCCAGTGTGTGATGGTGTGATTGGTTCTGTCCATTTACTGTTCACATGGCTACCAAGGTCGAAAACGGCAAAGATGGTAGTAAAGTTAAAACACATTTCCTCTCTACCGGCTGTTGCAGTGCACATGGAGTCACGGATGTTTTCATTCCTTGACCTACACTGAGCAAAAATATAAATGCAGCACCTTTATTTTTGTTCCCGTTTTTCGTGAGCTGAACTCAGAGATCTGAGACTTTTTCTGTGCAAACAAAACACCTATTTCACTCAAATACCGTTCACAAATTCGTCAAAATTAGTGAGCACTTCTCCTTTGCCGAGATGCCTCCATTGCCTTAGGCTGGCCACTGTAAAATGGTCAGTTTTATCACACAGGTTTTGAGGGAGTGTGCAGTTGGCGTGCTGACTGCAGGAATGTCCACCAGAGCTGTGAATTGAATGTTCATTTCTCTACCGTAAGCTGTCTCCAAAGGCGTTTCAGAGAGTTTGGCCTCACAACTGCAGATCAAATGTAACCACACCAGCCCAGGACCTCCACATCCAGCATCTTCACCTCCAAGATCATCTGAGACCAGCCAGCATAACCAAAGAATTCCTGCACAAACTGTCAGAAACCGTCTCTGGGAAGCTCCTCTGCATGCTCGTTGTCCTCATCGGGGTCTCGACCTGACTGCAGCTCGTCGTCGTAACCGACTTGAGTGGGCAAGCGCTCACATTGGATGGCGTCTGGCACTTTGGAGAGGTGTTCTCTTCATGGATGAATCCCAACAGACAGTGCGTATGGCGTCGTGTGGGTGAGCGGGTTGCTGATGTCAGCGTTGTGAATGGAGTGGCCCGTGGTGGTGGTGGGGTTATGGTGCCATTCATCCACGAGCATCACCTCATGATGCAGCGTGATAATGCACGGCCCCATGCAAGGATCTGTACATAGTGCCTGGAAGCTGAAAACATCTCAGTTCTTGCAGGGCCAGCTCACCAGACATGTTGCCCATTGAGCATGTTTGGGATGCTCTGGATCGGCGACCGCGTGTTCCATTCCCGCCAATATCCAGCAACTTCGCGCAGCCATTGAAGAGGAGTGGAGCAACATTAGCAACATAGCATCTTGATATGCTACACCTGTGAGGCGGATGGATCATCTCAGCAAAGGAGGAGTGTTCACGAACACAGATTTAGACAAAGTTGGGAACAACATTTGAGTGAAATAGGCCTTTTGTGTACATAGAGTTCAGCTCATGAAAAATGGGAGCAAAGGTGTTGCATTTATGTTTTTGTTCATCAGAATCAGAATCAGCCTTAATGGCCAAGTACGTACACAACATACAAGGAATTTGGTTTCGGCTGTTGGTGTCGCCCTAGGAATTTGCACGAAAAATAGCAATAGGAAAATTTAAAAATAAAATAAAGTAAAATAACTGGAGAAAGAAAAGAATAAAATACAATAAATATTAATAAAAAATAAAACAAGATAATAAGACAAATGTATACAATTGAAAAGTTATGTTGTATATTGTATAATGAATGAATGAAAAATACTTTATTTATCCCAGAAGGGAAATTTCGATAAGTATACATTGTATATTGAAGATGAAACCATGCTAACGTGTGCTAACATCTGCATGTTTAAAGCAGTCGGGTTTGTACATAAAGTCAAAATCACGCAGCTCATTCAAAACAGCCTCTCCATTCATTTGTGTTGGAGAGGAAGCAGGAATCTTTGATGCACCCATCTCAATCAGCATTACAGGACAGAAGACATTGCATTGAGTATTTCTTTTACAAAAGCACCTCTTCCCCCTTTGTGTGTTTGTCTTACACATTTTTTTCCTGATACAAAGTGCACAAAGACCTTTTCATGCATACCTTTATTGTACAACATTAGGTTAAAAAGACTTTTTCTAATTGTCCTTGACGTGACTTTTCTTCTTCACACCTCTCTCTGCACAGGAGCGCAACGCCGAGAACGCCATCGAGGCTCTAAAAGAGTACGAACCAGAGATGGGGAAGGTGTATCGCATGAACCGCAAGGCTGTCCAGAGGATCAAAGCCAGAGATATCGTCCCGGGAGACATCGTGGAGGTGGCAGGTTAGCTGCGGCTGCACCCAGCCAAACTCTTACTGTCACTCACTGAGACTAATTTGTGCTTCATCTACCTCCGGAGGACTCTCTGCTGCTGTCACCCAGCCGCCTGTGTGCTCCTCTTGTCACCGACATGCACAGAAACACTCGCACAGCCTCTGCCACCCATTCATAAGTCTGGAACCACTGTTGGAATATCTCAAACTGGATTACATAAGAGTCTTTTCTCTGAATGTGCAGGTGCCAGGGCTGCTATCCAGTTGTGTCTGTTTGTGTGTGTGCGAGTGGCTGTGGTCAGTCCTTGTATTTAAGGCCCAGTTTAATTTTCCACAGCTTTCCCCTTTCCCTTCGCTTTCCATGCTCTCAGTCTCGCCACCTGGATGCTGCTGGATGTTTGTCAGCTCCTCATTCACACTCCCCCCCCCCATGTTACATGCACATACAGACAATCCCCCTGCTGTAAACTCGCCCATGTGTGGGCAGCTTCGGCTAAAAATAGTCCGCTTGTCACTCTGGCTCCAGAACATCTGTGTATGCCAGAGTAAATGTGCACACACACAGGGCCAAGGAGATCAATTTGCCATCAACATGACCGGTTTTTTGGAGTGTAATCCTGAGCTTTGCATGGTTTGCGATTCGTCTCGGGCGGCTCTGAGCGATGTGTGGAAAAGGAGGGAGCGTGTGAGAGATGGCGGCGTTCATTCATAATCACAACACAGAGAGGCAAGCAGAGGGATTATACACAGCGGCGGTCGCAGTGAAGGCTTGGATTTCAGCTCAAGGTTTTTAAAAGTGAAAATTAAATTATCCATCTAAAGTAACCATCAGTGAAGGCTCTCAGACCATTCCCCGCAGGCGAGTGGGTTATAAATAATATCCTCTAAATATTCTCTCTCCCGCTATTTACAGAGAATGTAGTTTAATAGACTTATTTAGTGACGGATGGCACTTGCTTGGAATTTGGGGCTTGTTACAGCCGGTGTCCACAGCCAGGCGCAGACAAGCCCACACAGGTAGCGAGCACCGAAATGACTCCACTCATCCCCCCCACCACCACCACCACCACCACCTACCGCCACTACCATCACTGTCACTGTCAACACCAACAGCATCACCATGACAACACTCCGCTCATCTGTGGTACTGAAGTTCACGACACATGGACCATCTGCTGTTTAAATAAGGGCGATGATATTATTGCTGACTGTCAGCACCTGGTGGTGAGGACCGTCCTGTTATGGAGTAACGAGGGCGCGTACAGCCAAAGCAGATCATTTTGATATTTTTTGCAAGGGCAATGCTTTGGTTTCTCCTCTTCTGCTAATCACTGAACCTTGTCCCTGAAGTTTCCTAGCCGTAGGCGTGTTTACACCGTTAATTAGCAGAATAATGCCTCATTGGCTTGACCTAAACTCATGCAAACTTAATGGTTGATAGAAGAAAGACAGTTTATACCTAATATGGAATAAGTTGTACAAGAGGAGGAATGATAGCGGTGTTTTTGTAAAATATACCCCGTCATGTATTCAGCACTTCTTTCTGTCTGACATAATGTTGTTGCTAAGCAGTTTCCAACAGGGGTAAACAGCTGAGGTAGAGCCACACTCGTCTCACTTAGAAAATATGTGTGTCAGGGATCTTCAAGCTCGCTCCACCGACTGAAACATGTAGGGATACGATGACAAAGAAAACAAACGATTATTTTGGTAACTTTGCTCCATTGGTTTCTCAGCCTTCCATGCTCTTCACATCAGCCCGTGGTGGTGGTGGCTCCATGGCAACTCCATGCTAGGGGGGTAAAATAAACAGCATGGAGGTATCGGAAAAGGACGATGTGCCTTTGAGGAGAGAAAAGAACATAAATATATTTACTTAAGTTTCCACCTCTGCTGTCTGCCTGCCTTCTTGTACGCTGCCGGCGATGCCAGCCCCGGTTACGACACAGTTGTGATTTGCGCCTCTGCTGGAACTTTCCTCTTTTTTTTTTTTTAAATGGGTTGAGTGCCGCGGTCAGGTTGTCAGGAACTCCTCGAGGGTTTACACAGACCTGAAGAGAAGGAAACCTGCAATGAGCCATTCCCACTAACAAGTCACGGTTCTCCTGCATGTGAAGGAAGATCCCTTCTCCAGCACATTACGCAATACTTTCAGATCTTGTTTGGAGTCCAGTTTGACCGAATGGAAGGAGAACGCCGTCTGCCCAAAGACGCTGACTTCATCGTTTGTTTTGACGAGTCAGCATATTAGTGAACACACGATGATTTAAAATGCTTTTTCCTGCCGTTTGAAATTCAAAGCGCTGACGAAAAAACATCCAGACAAATTTCTGATCTTTATAATATTTAAAAGTCTGCATATCTGAACTCGGCGTGACTGTATTAGGATTTAAATTTCTCTTCTAGCACATGGAGGATGTCTGTGGGAGGCCGTGGCAGAAAGGGGAGCCAGAGTCTGTGGGTAGGCGTTTGAAAAAAAGCCTCTCTTTTCTGCCCTCGGCCAGTCCTGCTACAGTGAACCTGTAGCCCCCAGCCGTCTCCCACACAAACACCAAACACACTTCCCTCCCCCTCCGCCTCTCCCACTCTTGTTCTCTCACAAATCTGTGGATATCAGACAGCGAGATGTAGAGAAACACGGAAATCTCTCTCTCGTTCTCCATCTCTGTCTCCCATCAGAGAAAAGATGTTGTAAAAATTCACCTCGAGTCTCAGAACACTCAGGAAATGTCAAGAGGAGATGATGGAGCTCGGAGAGATCAAGAAATGAACATTCAGGAACTTATCAGCATGAGGCCACCTTGAAAAGTTTTCACAGTCAGGTGTGCCCATACAGAAGACGAACTCCCCGTTTAGCGCGTGAGCGATGAAAAGCAGAAAACCAACAAGACGTCCAGTCGTTTTCATGTTCATGCAGATTTAGTGGGGAGTCCTTGTTTTTGTTGCGCCGAGGAGCACTGACGGCTGAGGACTCTTGAGTTGGCATTAATGAGACGCTTATTATACAGAGTAATGAGGAGGTCCTTTCCCCTCTCTCTCTGTCATCCTGGAAAGAAACAACTAAAGAATGTTAAATCTGTCTGCAGCGATTTCCCCACTCCTCTGCTCTGAGATCATCGTCGCTGATTGCATCAAACGATCCATTTTTCACGAGCCTGCTCCGTCCCGCCAGTACGAGAATGTTTCCATTAAATGTTCATCGTCGGGCCGTAACCACGAGGAAATAATAAGCGTTTTGTTTTGGGGCATTAGATGCATATAATTCTCCGGCTTTGAAATATGGCTTTAATATGCGGACTTAATAAGCGGACTGTTAGACTTGTGGTGGAGAAGATGAAAAGCATTTTATACATTTAATGAAACCTTCGTCTGTAGTTTATGTGTGAGGAAGTAGTTGCATCGGAGGAACGGCGAGAGGTGCAGAGGAAAAGAGAGAACAAGAGGGAGGGCGGGAAATAATCGATCATTTTAAAACAGCAACGTGACTCCATCAAGGTTGTATCGAGCTGTTGTTTACCTGCGGCTGCAGCCCGAGCCTGGACTGAACCCACCGATGTTTCTTTGCTCAAGGATTTATTGTTTGAACACAGACATTCAATAAGGTGTAACCGAGTGTTCACCTGCAGCAGTGCTTACAGGTGCAAGACTTTCCTGTAGGGTTCAGCACAAGTCAAATCTTTAGTCAAACTTATTAGAAGCACATATTGTCTCTTCACTCTCCCGTGTCTGTCTATACAGTCAGTAGTAGTAGTGCAGAAGCTCATGGTACCCATCGGCTGCTCTGGTGATATCCCAGCCTGTCCTCTATTGCCACCGGCAGAGTCACACTGTCACCCTTTCAGTCATAAAGGTTGACATCTACTAGACAGAGCAGTTTTGATTTATGCACATCCTAATGATTTTCCTGAGCCCCTCATTTGTCTTTTGAGTGACATATCTCAATAACTATTGGATCAAGTCAGTAGGGGCTGGACAGGGCAGTTGGGGACCTCCGTCCCACTGCCAGGCTTTGTGTTGTTGGTCTCTTCGGTGCTTTGCTGGAGGAGGGTCTTGACCAAAGAGTCATAACTGTTGAATCAACTGTTGTTAAATTTGCCGTAGATATCCTTTAAAACTATTACAACATCCTCAGTTCTGCTCTGTTCTCACTGTTTTCTAATTAGCAAATGTTGGACATAAAAATGGAGCAAAAAATGGACATAATGGTTTGAAAATCTGCGTGTTGTTGCTGTGAGCGTGATGATGGTATTTACAGTTTGCTGCGACAGCCTCACTCAGCTGCTAGCACGGATCCAGACTCTTGTTGACCTTCAGCAGACGTGCTTTCTTTTAATATTTTGACATTCATTTTTAATCATCTGAGCCTGATGGGTTTTTATTATTTCTTTTATTTTTTGTTAGTTGGTGACAAGGTGCCTGCTGACATCAGAGTGACCTCAATAAAGTCCACCACCCTGCGGGTAGACCAGTCCATCCTCACAGGTACTTCTCACGTCTCACCAGTAACCAAACAATTCTGCTTCAAGGCGTTCGCCTAATTGTGAAGGATGTGCTCTAGTGCACCTTTTTATTGGATGAATTTAGAAGACCTGAAGTCATAAGCAATCTACAAAAGTGTGTTTTTGTGATATTGTCTGTGATAATTTCTCCCCCTTTAGGCTGTGACTGTAACTTTGTTTGGCTCTAACACTGTTGAAAACATTGGTCTAATCATCACCTATTACACTTGCAGATCTAATCCTGCACAATATAATCCTGTTTTCTTTAGGGGAATCTGTCTCCATCATCAAACACACTGACCCTGTTCCTGACCCCAGAGCTGTCAACCAGGACAAAAAGAACATGCTGTTTTCTGTAAGCACGTCCCCCGTGGCTCCTCGAGTAATGCTTATCTTCTGCCTTCATATCAGGAACAGATGTCATCAAAGACAACGTTGTACAACCAAAACATCTGATTACATAGTTACTGCTGTTTTTAGAAGATGTTACGTCACTTCTCTGGTGATCTAAAGCCATGTCTTTTGATGTACACTTATGATTCATTGCTCCATTTAATTTGGAAATATCCATATGTATTTGGTCAAAGAGATAAAAATTTCTTAAATATTCAGTTTATGAAATGTATTTCTACTTCTTTGTACCTATTCCTTGATCTTTCTCTTCTCAGGGCACAAACATTGCGGCAGGTCGTGCCATAGGTGTCGTAGTGGCTACGGGTGTCACCACAGAGATCGGTAAGATCCGTAACCAGATGGCATCCACAGAGCAAGAGAAGACGCCGCTGCAGCAGAAGCTGGACGAGTTCGGACAGCAGCTCTCGAAGGTCATCTCCCTGATCTGCGTGGCGGTGTGGGTCATCAACATCGGCCACTTCGGAGACCCCGTCCACGGTGGCTCCTGGGTCCGGGGCGCCATCTATTACTTCAAGATTGCCGTGGCCCTGGCTGTGGCTGCCATCCCCGAGGGCCTGCCTGCTGTCATCACCACCTGCCTGGCCCTTGGCACACGTCGCATGGCCAAGAAGAACGCAATCGTTCGCAGCCTGCCCTCGGTGGAGACCCTGGGCTGTACCTCTGTCATCTGCTCTGACAAGACGGGCACCCTCACCACCAACCAGATGTCCGTCTGCAGAGTAAGTGGCAATCAGGAATCTAAAGATGCCTTTGGCTGAATGAGGATTTGACCATAGATAGTCAGCTTACCTCAGAGACTTACATACTATTTCATATCTTTAACACATCTGAACAGGTTCACAGGAGCACAAACTGGTGAATTAAATTTCCACATGCTATCATATGAGTGACACTTCTAAAAAACCAACGGGGAATTCCTTCTGAAAAAGTCTTATGGAGGTGAATTCTACAAGGGTTTGCTGTTCATTATTAATGTCAGCCTGTACAGTTCACCCATCTTTCTCCCCCATGTGTGTTTTTTCTTTTTCCCTTTCATGCAAACGCGCCTTAGAGAAGGTTGGAAAATCCTCGTGGTGTTGTAATGTTTACCTGCACTTGGCAGATTGGTGATAGCTAATGGTGGAGTAATACAGACTGGCATGACCCAGCAGCACCCAGAATATCACCAGATCAGCTCACACATGCACCAGGAAGCTTTCCAAAATGTCACATAGCCTGAATCAACACAATACGGTGATCCGTGCCACGAACTTCTCTGTAAGTTTCAATGCATTAATGATGTATATACGGTATAATTACACTGGACAACAAACACTGAGAGATCTTATCCACAACTATTCATGTGTATTTCTGTAGCATGTGGCCTCACCCTGTTCTTTGTCTGTTAGTGTGTGTTTGTGTGTGTGTGTGTGTGTGTTGCTTTATTACCAACTTTACTCCAAGCACAGAGTAAATGCCAGCGCTGCTGTTTGTCTTGGCTCCTGTTAAGTGTTCCACGCACACACACACACACACACACACTCATAATCTCAGTTAACACCTCCTGCCCTTCCATCCGCTGCCTAACCTCTCATCTCAAATAATGACCTCAGAGTTACTGGCCAGCCTGAGTAGGACAGCATCATACGCTGCATAAGTGTCTGACGCCACCTCAGCACACCTCAGGTTTGGCATTGTGGCCATCTTGGTTTTCTGTAGCCAGCAGTGAGCATATTTATATGAGAGCATGGCATACCCGCCTTTATCACCTGTTTCCCTCAAGTTGTACAAAAATGAACGCCATTTTGTATTTGAAAAGTTTTAAAACTAGCAATTGAGACCATAAACTCATTAGGGAAAAGTTTGCTCAGCTAGTAAATCAAATGAGAAGTAGGGTCGTTTTCTTATAGATTCTGTTTTTGCTTTTAGAGGAGTCGCCCCCTGCTGGTTGCTGCAGAGGTCCTTCCACAGTGGCGTCATTTTTCAGACGATCTTTTATATACAGTCCACGAGGAAGATGTCAAACTAGTGATTGAGACCATAAACCTGTTTAGAAAGTGTTTACTGTGTTAATGACAGACGATTTTTATACAACTGGACAACGATCAGAGGGCTCTCTGAACATTCTGCTCATCCGGAGAAAAGGGTCAGAGAGTTCTCCCGTCTTCTAGATGTCCGGAGAAGCCTTCGAGCATCTAGAATATTTAACCAGCTTGAATATGAGAAGCTGACCATTTAAATCAACAGCACAGAGCTCTGTACGAGGAGCAAAATAGCTGCAGGTGCTGCGGCTTCCTCCCACAGTCCAAAGAAATGCTTGAGGTTAATCGGTGATTCTAAATTGTCTGTAGGTGTGAAAGTGTGTTGTTTATCTCTCTGATTGTCCTACAGACTAGTGGGTTTTATATGTTTGGAGAGGACTCGCTATAATCTGGAAAACCAAGGTGAAAAAAACTGAATTCGTATTTCAAAATGGAGTTCAAAGGACTGTGCAGTTCCCCCTTACGGTAGACTCTCTGCGCTCGGCGTATGAAAGCCCGCCCCTCGTTGCTCCCCCAGATGACGTGGAGTGTCTGTGTGATTAATGCGTAGCTGCAGGGAGTTCCCTCTAGCAGGAGGAACACGGAGGAGTGATCTCACCACAACCCTGAAACCCTCCCACACACAGAAAAAAAAAAAAAGAGTGAGGCAGGCTGGCACTGGGTAAACATTGACCTTCTGCTTCCACCTATGCTCCTTGGCTTGCCGCTCTCGGCTCTCTGGTGGGAGATAACACATACACATTCTCACAAAGACAAATCAAACTTCCGCTTTTCAGTTTTTTTTTTGTTTTTTTTCATGGTGTTTCCTGGAGATAGATTTTTTTTTTTTTATTTTAGTGGTTATTTAACTCGGCCTTCCTCATGCTCGTCGTGCCTTCAACACACTGCGCTGTTTTTATAGTTTCCCTGCGTCACATGTTTGCCCGTGCTTATCCATCTGTGCTTATTCCCGGACTGGTCTCCAGCCAGTAGCCCTGATAGCGCCATGTGTCTCCCTGGCCTCGGTGGTATCCCCGTATCGGCAGGATTTCCAGGGATTCCCCTCTGTGTCCTGACTCTGTACTTCCCTTTTCCCTTCACACACACACTCACACACACAGGGTTATCCACTATTCATCCCCACACAAGCTCAGAGGAAGTGAGTAGAAAAATACAAACTTCTGCCACTACCATTTAGTCACATGGATCACACTGTGCCTTGTTTCCTTGGAGACCACAGCGGATCAGATAGTGAGAGAAAACTGACCACGGATGAAAGAACAAGCCTAATTTTATTCCTTAGGCTCTGCTTTGTGTGTGTGTGTGTGTGTGTGCGGTATGTGCTTTTATGGAAGTCATTGGGCCCCTGAGTAGGTATTGTTGGTTTGTGGGAGAATGGTGGAACAGAGAGTACCAAGCCTGATGACCTTTGTGAAATTAAGGATTGAACAGAAGGTTGAAGCCGTGTAAAGGGCAGCACATCCTGAAATGAAACTGAAAATCAAGGATTAATGGGGTAAAAAAAAAAAAAAAAAAGTTAAAGATCCTGTTTGCACATCGGCACTATGACCAGCTGAATATTTTAGTTAATTATAAGTTAGAGATGGAGTAACAAAGTCGGAAAACTTGCGGTACGGTGTGTGGTTTAGTCTGGCAAGTCCAAGAATTCTTGTGGCAGCAAATACTTCTTGAGCAGCTTTATCAGTAACACAAAAGGCGTATCTGGTTACAGCGCAGCCAAACAAACGAGACTTGTTTTAATAAAGTCATCCTTTTTTCCATGATGCCACCAGAGTGAGTAGTTTCCTGCACAACAGCAGGGAACGCTAAAAGGTGTCGGTTACCTTGCAGGAGAGTTGAAGGTGTGCAGCTTGTCGCCTGCAGCTCTTCATCTAACGGCTCGTGAGGCTGCGTCTTCCTTTTCGCTCGCAGAGATTGGCTGTGAAAAGATGATGAAAATAACTATTTGCAGTTTTGATGAGCAACTTTGGTCAGTGCTTACTGTGGTGGCAAATACTTCTTTGTGCGTTTTTTTGTTTCAGTGTTTTTCACCCGTCAGATGTTTTGTACGTGAGCTGGCAGGACTGCACTAAGCTGGGTTGTGGCTGCCTCGTTCCCAAAGTTAGCTTCCTGAGATTAATTACAAATTAAAGTATTATGTAAGCATAAGCAAATATTAGGTAATAAGATACTTGACACGGCGGTTAGTTGTTCATACTAATGCTGGACTTGAGGCTTTTATCAGTTTTATCTTCTATGCATTGATGAAATGCGTTCCTGTGCATCAGAAATGTATATTTGAAAGTTTTTATTCAATGTAAATATATTTAAAATGGCTTAGACGTAACTCTTCAATATCTTGTGTGGCTCTGTAACGTCTCTGCCTCTCTCTATACCCAGTGTGCAGTTCAGCACACCAGCTCACCTACGACTTTGCTTAAACACTTAAACTGATCACGAGGAAGAGCCATCATACGGAAAGACTGGTTCCTTAGGTTTGTTAGGCATGAAAACTGTTTCAGCCATGACGTTAACTGCTCATTTCACTAATAATGTGTCTTATAGCATCGAAAAAAACCACTATATGTATATGTTATCAGTCTAAAATATTCATTGATTTTTACTCGAGGGGCCTTTGAAGCAGCTCTCGTGAGGCTGATCAAAATAAGATAATGGAAAGCAAAAAGTGTCTGCATGTGTTTTCATTTTCTGTCAATCTGTCGTGTAGGAAGGCAATCTAAATGTTGTGTTGGTATAGCAGACACTATACAGAGAGTAAAAGCTCTATATCGAGCAATTAGGTCATCAGCATGTAAATTGCAAAACCAACTTACCTCAGATGTGGTTAAAGTTATTAATAATATTTTTATACAGCTCTTGTGTGCCCACAGTTTTTTTGTTTTTTTTCATTGATGTGGATTTTTTTTGCTTTTCCTTTTTCAGACGCTCTTAGAGTTGTACAGGTGAAGGAAAGTCATAGAGCTTCAAAAGTCCTTCTCAATAGTCAGCTCTTGATTGAATTTCAAAAAGGAAAACAGCATTACTGCATTGTGTCAAAGCTGCAAACGCAAAAACTGCATGTTCTCAAGAAAAACAAACTATAACGTCATAGAGGCAATAATAATGATTTGGTAAGGCAGTTATTTATAAGCGTTTCATCTTGTCCAGCCCAGACTACATCAGTGGACTAAATGTAGTAACCCTGGTAATAATTACTCCATTAAAAGGCTTAAACTTACCTTTTAGGCTCTGGTTCTGGAGGAACAACAGCTGCCTCCCATCTTAAGTCTTGCATTGATCTTGTGTTCTTTTTAAATTGATGGCTGCTGTTAAGTCAGTGACACACACACACACACACACACACACACACACACACACACACACACACACAAACTCAGAGAATCGAGAAGGAAGGAAAGTTTAACCAAATGACTGCTTCATTAATTCTTCAATCAGTGTGATTTAATTGAGTGTTAAACAGCGTTAAGCCAGGTCGTAGGGGTGTCTAGCTTGTGTGTGTGTGTGTGAAGTTGAATATTAATTAAGGACTGAAGGTCAAGGGCAGTTTGTCATCCTATAGTAAATTTATGTATGTCATTCAGATGAGGTGTTGGGATGCACAGAGAGGCATTGGACTGTGAATGATGGCGTACCTCAGCCGCCGCACTCCCTCTTTGTTTTATCGATATATTAGTATTACGAGTGCATCGTGAACCGCCCTTCCTGTGGGAATTTCAGGAAGAACATTTGCCAACAAAGCAGCCAACAAAGCAAATCCTTGGACAGCTCTGGGACTGAGCTCTTTCTCCTATCTTCACTGACTTATTCTTTGTTTTCCAGCGGTTAACTGGAGCGTGTTTGGCAGCGTGAGTGACTGATGAAGGCTTACATCCAGACGTATGAGCGCTGCAACTCCCATGTTGCGTTCATGTGTAGAGATGCTAACGCGAGCACAGGGGTGGAAGTACAGTGAGCTGCACAAGCTGGTATACATTGTGGGGTTGTTTTCTGACTGAATCATTGTAGATTTTCCTTCAGTAACCTTTTCTTTTAAGCCAGTTCTTCCTATATGGTATTCCAGCATCTGATTTTCATAATGCTTTCCTGCTGGGCCTCACTTGGTCTAGTGTGGCCAGAAGTTTATGATGGCAAAATTTAGATTACTGTAAGTGACATAAGCGAATCACTTCACTGACATTATGCTTTGCTCTACTTGTGCTTCTTTTACAGCACATTTTAGCATTTACTTTTGTCCCGTAATTGCCCGTTGGCCACAGTAACCGCCGTGCAGACCTCATATAGTCTCGCTTTACCTGATAGTTAACATAGGCACGTCACTGTAGCCGCGGTATGTCGTCTATGGTGCATAGAATTTACTTCAAAATGACATTATTGCTCAGGTGCACCATGACACAAAAGGTACATATATTCCTGTGCATTACTTTACATGCGTTTCCTCTTGACTATGTGACCGTTCAGTGAGCGTTGCATGACACTTGTTGCTATTCATTAGAAGATCTCTGCTGTATATTTCACCTTTACATAGTTTATAATCAGTTTTTAGTGACCTGATGGATGTGTGTGAATTCAGTTGTGTTGCTATTCCTGAGGTCATCGTTAATGGAGGTCGTGTTTTACTGCAGGTGTGTCACAAATTTTCTTTTGCCTTCCCAGTTTACATACATCAGGGCAGCAGAACCTTAGAAACAACGCTGAATATAAGGCAACACTTTGACAGTAACTATGACTCCAGTGCTGAAACATAGACTGGAATTAGGTTCTTTATAAATTATATTGTAAATATAAAATTGCCATCAAAGTCGTCATAGTTATCATGAAAGTAGACTTCATGCTAAAAAATAGTTGTATTGGATTGCCTTAGATTGTGTGGTTGATCCTAATAAAGTGACCATTGACTATAATTACATGTATGACTTACTGATACTAACAAATGATGAATATACACTGGAGGTATTATATCTATAGCTGTGCTTTAGAATTAGAATTAGAATACAACTTTATTGATCCCTTTGGTACAAGACCTCAGGGAAATTGCTATATGTGTCATATGTTATATGTTAAATATGCTTTATGTGTCCATACAACAATTTCTGTGATAGCATAGAAACACATTGTGATTCTGAAAGCTTCTGTCACATATTTGTCATCTATTCTTATCTCTATCCATGCTGCAGAATGCATTTCCTAAACTGCTGCCTTTGAAATTTGCTATTTGAATTGTTCCCATCATGACTTTTGATTTGAAATCAATTAATTGTTCATTCATAGTGACAATCAAAAGCCTCGGCTGTACAGTATTCCTATGACAAACCCTCTTGGTTGCACTAGCCGACGTTGTCACGGTTATACAAGATAACAGAATAGCTTTCTTCAAAATGAAATATTTACTGCAGCCAGTCACTGAACTCCATCTCAGTCCACAAGACCCCGTCTCCGGGTCCGCTTCAGCCTCCTCATTAACTATTAAAAATAAAAGGCTATTTTCTGAAGCTCCAAACACAGGCAGACTCACGTATGTCTTCACTTGATCCAACGTAACCTTTTAGCAGCAGTGGGCAGCCGCAGCACACAAGGACCAACCACAGTTTGATTAATAAGCTAACTACGCCGCCTCTGTTTGTGTTTGCCTTTTTTTTTTTTTTCTCTCCAGATGTTCGTCGCAGACAAGGTGGAAGATTCAAGTTGCACCCTGCATGAGTTCTCCATAACTGGTTCTACATATGCCCCCGAGGGACAAATGTAAGTGTCACAGTTTAAAGATGTATCGCTTGGTTACGAAAAGACATTGGGTCCATTTTAATAGCTCATTAAAAATGTGTGTCAGCGGGCTTTCCAGATTTTACTACAGCAAATATTTAAATTTAAATGCATCATTCCTTTTTTTTTTTTCTTCCCTTTTCCTGGCCCTTTCTTTTTTAGAATAAAACATAAATGGATGCAGTCAAGCAAAATGTGTTGTGGTCTGCCGGCCAGGATTTGTTACATCAATTCTAATAAGTCTGAAAATGTGCTTTTAGCGATGCTTTGTGTTGATGTGGAAATATCTGTGAGAACCAGGGAAACGGCTAATAACTCCAGATACATTCTGTTATGTGTGCAAACTGCTTGTACATTTATACATTCATAGTAGAAATCATAAGCCTCGGCTGCACTGTACTCATATCACACACCTTGCTGGTTGAAGCGTACGGTGAACTCGGGTAAACAGATTTTCCATTGTGTGTCCATTTTGATATGTGCCATGTCAGATTTTTTTCTATCTTAGTAAATATGTATTTGTGGAGGACTGCAGGTAGGTGGCTATTCATTAGACAGAAGAAGTATTTCGGCAGTTCATTTTGCGCATGTTGTTTATTTTACTGTTTGGCGAGTACAGCATTCTGACTCCGCATGAACCTGTCGATTTCATAACAGCCGAGTGTGGGTTATTGTGTGGGAGCTTCGCTAGCAACGGTTGCAGTCTCTACTGGGAAGGGATCCATGGTTGTCATGCAATCAGCACCGCTTGTCAGGAGCGAGCACACACACACACACACACACACTCACACACAAATACACTGTTTACTACTGTACCACCACTGTTTCTCCAGTCAACTTTGGAATGCTAAACAACCGAATGTCGTCTCCACTCATAAATATTCAATAGGATACTGTGTCTGCGGTGTAGTGAACTGTGAAGTGTTTCTTCCTTGTGTTTTGCTGTTGTGAGTGATGCTTGCGTGTGTGTGTGTCTGTTTTTCTTCCAGACTTGCAGGAAACAGGCCTGTCCAGTGTGGAGACTATGATGGACTTCTGGAGTTGGCCACAGTGTGCTCTATGTGCAACGACTCCTCGCTGGACTACAATGAGGTCATTAACACACAAACATCTTTTAACTTTCTGTGCAAAATAGATCCATGTGTAGCACATTATGGGAGTCCGGTCTCTGCGAATTCCTATGCGCAACTACACACTGCAGTGACTCCATAAAAGGTAGCACTTGAATACACACACACACACACACACACACACACACACACACACTGCTTTCCCTTTCTTCAGCTGAGCTAATTTTACTCCAATGTATGATCTTTTTCTTTGGTTTGGATTGCTTTTCTCACCTCTTTGTCATCACCATGGTATCACAGTAACCATGCTGAGGAGAGAGGCCAGCACTTCTCAGCTCCCATATATCTTCCCCTAGACTAACTGTTTCTGTTCTTGTAAATAGTCATTTTGCCACCGATTTTGTGCGTTTTTGAATAAAGCCGGAGTGTGAGATCAGAAGAGAGGGAGAGGAAGTGGAGCCAAGCGCCCGGAGGGGAGGGAGGCGTTTTATTGCTGTCTTTGGTCGGCCACACAAACAAATGATGTGTCGTTTGTCGTTGCTGCTCCATCTTAACGACTCCACATCTCAGCTCGCAGGGTCACATATTTGAAAACACTTTGCATGTGTGACTCAGTGTTTATGGTCGAGGTAGAGTTGAATGACCTGCAGTGCTGCTCGCTGCAGGTCGTTTCATGTGAAGGGGGTCTCTCACATTTAACAGTGGGTCATGTATGTCATTTGAAGTTGTTCTTTCTGTAGGTTTCACTAAAAATATCTCATTTTAATGTTGTCAGTTTGATGGTTGAGACTTGTGTTCTCTTACAGAGCAAAGGGGTTTATGAGAAGGTGGGTGAGGCCACAGAAACAGCTCTCACCACCTTGGTGGAGAAGATGAACGTCTTCAAGACCGACCTGTCCGGACTCAGCAAGGTGGAACGTGCTGGGGCCTGCAACTCCGTAAGTTCCATGTGAAGATGCTTGTGACCCAACAATCTGATCTTCATCTATATCTAAAGATTTCTGGGACTACTTCTGCATACGTGAAAAAAGTTTTGTGACTGGAGAGAGAGAGCTGTGCCAAGTCTGATGAACTGCCTCAAGCGATGCTGACTTGTGTGGCTTGAGGCAGTTGGAGTGACTGCAAGTTTGAAAATACAAGTCTTAGGGTGTTTAGTTAGAAAGAAGTGAGTTCACCACACCTCTGTTGCCCCCGTCCTCATCTCTGCTTGAGGCAAGCCGTTTGAAGATTAGGATCTAAATAGTTGATTCAACAACCTCATCTGCAGTCCAGTTGTATTGTGACACCGCAGACACATTTCTGAGAACACGACAACTCGGTTCTGACTTCATAGGCTACTTAGCAGCACCCAGTACTCCATATGGAGTGGATGATCTAATTAGATTTTGGAGCACATTTCTGCATGAATTTGCATATTAACTAGGGAGCAGCGATTTCCCAGAAATGGCTCCTTTACACTTTAGGCTAACAAGTTCAAATTGATACCAGATATGTAGCATGCAGTGACAAATGTGTTGGAATAAAGTCTTTGCTAAATAATGGTCTAATTAGCTCAGTTAAAGGGAGACTGGTTCTAACATGTGAACATGATAAACTAAAGAACAATACAAACTGTATACTTACAGCACTATTACTCCTTATGGAGAATATGATCTGACTGGATCATAGTGGGAGCTGCTGCATACATTTGTAAATTTGTAAAACAGATTTTACTTTTACCTAGTGTTGTAGTAGCTCCTAGTCATACTGTCAGCATGCATGCTTGTCTTAAGGAGATGGTAGGACGGAAGGCAGTCCATGAGTCTCTTGTTTTGACTCAGACACTGTTATAGAAACGCCGTGGTAAATCTGTGGAGTACCGTTTTAGTGCCCAATCAAAGGTGTTTAAGCCAAGTCTGTGGAGATCAGTGTGTTACTCATCTTTATTCATTCATTTATCTACAATAAGCACACTGTTTGCTCCCACAACTGGCATATCTGCTGCAGGCTTTGCTCTTCTCAGCGTGAATGTGCCAATGAGACTATAATTACTCTGCTCATTATGCCATACTGTACACTGCCAGTAGGGAGGACATAATGACCTGGTGTGCGCCTGCTTATACATATTTGTACCAATTATATTTTACATTTAAGTCATGTTTTATTGAGGGTGAGTCAGCAGGTCAGGTTTTAAGGACCATTTAATGAAGCACACGGATCGACACACACGACTTCAGGGTGTGAAATTATGATTGTTTGGTTATGACTTAAAAACATCACACACAAGCATAACTATAAAGACATGAAGCTTTCCTGCAGCATTACTTGGAGTTTGGGCTGGTTTTGCACCGAGCTCGCTACAGCAAATCACAGTTTTTTATTCTCGGTTGATGTGGAAAGTGTTGAACATGGCCGGTGCTGTGTGAGTGACCAATGGATGGCTAAGCTGACGTTAGTGTTTCAGTGCTGAGGGGCTCCAGTTCTGAGCTTGTCCACTCCGAGCTCCAAGGTTATTAAAATCTCTGTTGCTCTCACTTTTGGGAAGCGTAGGAGGGACGGAGGCTGTGGAGTCTCAAATGGAAAGAGCCTTTTAGTGACAGAGGAGTACAAAAGTACACGTCTCACTGAATGTTTTCGTGTTTAATTTTAAACCTCTAACTTGGTGCGCGGTACCTGCTCGGCGGATAAACGAGCAAATGCAGAACATTACTCAACATTAACTTGGATGTTGGGCAAATCCTACATGAGATGACCTTAACTTTCCGAATCTCTGCTGGGTGTACACAGCTAGGAAACAGAAGAAAGAGCAGGAGAATGATTTCCCCGGCATGCCATGCCAAGACAAACTCACTGTTCTCTCTCTGCTTGATAGAGAGAAGAAGTTTGTCATAGTGACAGATTTCAGGACATCCATCAGATGTCTGAAGTCCCCTGACAGGGTGTGTGTACACCACAACCATCTGGCTGGACAGAGAGTATAATCAGTCTTAACATTTCAGCCTTTCTTGTGCACTAGACTCAGCACAGACTCTGAACTAGAGGGACATCTACTGGTGGAAAATAAAAAAAAACAATATATGAAAAATAGGGATGTTTTTAGTTTGACTTTTATGCTCATGCAGTAAGCTTTCTTTTTAGCTTTTATGTTTCCACATAGTTCCACTGCTAATCATCCTCAGCCAGGTTCAGTATCATCTATGCTGCTGTGCACAGGCATCCGAGGCCACAGCCAGACATCTAGACAAGGTGGTTGAGTGGTCTGAAGTGTCATCCTTCAGCTGTTAGTAGTGCAGCCAAACCTCTCAGTGCCCTATCAGCCACCAGTCTGACAGATACCCATGAGTGTACCTCAGCTCTGTCTCTGACTCTTTTTCACCTTCTTCTTCTCCTCCTCTGTCATTTCTTCCACATCTCCCTCTTTTTCCATCCATCAGGTGATCAGGCAGTTGATGAAGAAGGAGTTCACCCTGGAGTTCTCTCGTGATCGCAAGTCCATGTCTGTGTACTGCACCCCTGTCAAACCGGGCTCCCAGAGCAAGATGTTCATCAAGGCATGACTGAATATGACACCCTCAAATAGACACATACCTGCCATCGCTACCATTTTCACCATTGTGTTAACGCGCTGCTTTCTTGTCATTTACAATGTTTGTCCTCAGGGTGCTCCAGAGAGCGTGATCGAGCGGTGTCAGTACTTGCGGGTCGGGACAGGGAAGGTGACACTGACACCAGCTGTGCGTGACCAGCTGATGTCTAAGATCAGGGACTGGGGGACAGGCAGGGACACCCTGCGCTGCTTGGCACTGGCCACTCATGACACCCCGCCACGCAAAGAAGACATGGACTTGGAAAACTCCAGCAAGTTTGCAGAGTATGAGGTACGGCAGAGGATTGTTGTTCAAAGAGCGTCATAGTTCAGTCTTTTTCCTAAAATAAAATGACTGACATTTTCAGCAACAATGCAGTTTTTAAATCAATGCCAATGTGATGAAGATCAATAAAGATGTGAAATGCATGTACTCTACTCCCTCTCTCCTGTTTGAATCCATCTACTGGTTAAACCTTTTTACACTTGGTTCCTGGAACAATCCATTTGTTGCGTGGAAAAGAAAATAAACTGTTTGAGCAGCGGTACAATTAGAAAGCAGTTAGTGGCATTTCAGAGGAATTGGAGAGAGATTCTGCTTTCAGATATTGCCCTGTGAAACCTAATCTCTCTTCCCCGCTCCTTCTTTGTTCTCCCTTCAGTTGGGGCTCACGTTTGTTGGCTGTGTGGGCATGCTCGACCCGCCCAGGAAGGAGGTGATCGGTTCAGTGAAGCTGTGCAACGAGGCAGGTATCCGCGTTATCATGATCACGGGAGACAACAAGGGCACAGCTGTGGCCATCTGCAGACGAATTGGCATCTTCGGCGAGGAGGAAGACGTGACTGGAAAGGCCTACACGGGCCGCGAGTTTGACGACCTCCCATCAGAGGCTCAGAGAGAAGCTGTGAAACGGGCGCGATGCTTCGCCCGCGTCGAGCCAGCTCACAAGTCCAAGATCGTCGGCTACCTGCAGTCCTTCGATGAGATCACGGCCATGGTGAGGAGAAGTGATGACACAGCTTGATCACCTCAAAGCTGTTCCACATCTGTTGTTCCTCCTCAATCTACTGGCACCGCCCCACTTCAACTTTGAGTCTCAGCTTCCTGCAGATCTACACATCGTATATTTTTTTGTCAAATCATTTTTTCATGGCAGTTGCGAGGCAAAACGGCATTTTCCTCCTCCTGCGGCTGTTTGTTATGTGAATGACTTGTCAGGGATGCATGGGAAGAGGCCAGTGAGGCGTGACATGTTTCAGGTCTCTTTGAGGCTGCTCTCTCAGACAGCGCTATCAGAAGCTGTCATCTCCGGTCCGCTCTGCTGCTTCCTATCTGACACACGTCTCAGAAGAGGGGTTGATCCGAAGGGAAGACGGGAGGGAGGGAGGGTAGACAACAATATCACCATTTGCCTGTCAGACTCACTCCACCATTCACAGCAGTCTCAAGCTGCTTTCAGGCCCTGCCATGACAGATAAATATCTCTCTTGCTCAGCTTTAGCTTAATCCTGTCTGAATCTGAAAGGATAATGAGACTTTGCATAGTGAGAAAGAAGCTCATTTGCAGCCATCCTCAGTTTGTTAGACTCATCTCTGTTTAAAGAATAATCTTCACCAAAACTTTCATGTGGGCTCAATATTTTAAGAATGAACATTCTTATTTGAACAAATTTTGTTTTGTCTGTCACGTCGAATACGCTTCACCACACTGGTTTATGAGCGACTAAGAAATAGTTTGAGCTTTTGTTCTTCAAAGAGGTTTATCCAGCTTTGTGATACTAAGAATATTCCTCTGTTCTTTGATAGAAGTTCTTGTCTACCACATATCTGTCTGTTTACAACTAGTGATGCATCTTCTAAAAATATTTCTTTCTTAAGTCTTGGTGCAAATATTGTATTTCACTTGGATTTAAGGATTATTTACTAATCAGGAGAGCAAATTTCGTCTTCTAACTTAGGTTTTGTTGATGCATTAATTATGGTTCTGTTTTTGTTCCAGACAGGAGATGGTGTGAACGACGCACCGGCTCTGAAGAAAGCAGAGATTGGCATCGCCATGGGTTCTGGCACAGCAGTGGCCAAGTCGGCCTCTGAGATGGTGCTGTCTGACGATAACTTCTCCACCATTGTGGCTGCTGTGGAGGAGGGCAGAGCCATCTACAACAACATGAAGCAGTTCATCAGATATCTCATCTCCTCTAACGTGGGAGAAGTCGTCTGGTGAGAACAAAGATGCTCCGACACTCAGCTGTCATGTTGGACTATCCTCACCATCGGTCTGGCGTCCTTGGCTGATGTCTCTTCCCTCTGTTTGTCCACAGCATCTTCCTGACAGCCATCCTGGGTCTCCCTGAGGCTTTGATTCCAGTGCAGCTGCTGTGGGTTAATCTGGTGACTGATGGGCTGCCTGCCACTGCCCTGGGCTTCAACCCGCCAGACCTGGACATCATGGACAAGCCTCCCCGCAACCCCAAGGAGCCTCTCATCTCTGGCTGGCTCTTCTTCAGATACCTGGCCATTGGAGGTAGTCCTCGCTCTGATCTGAATAAAACTGCTGCTCAGTATGTGCTTGTGTCAGAGTATAAACAGTTTACAAGTTAGGATGTGTGTGCAGCAAGTTGTTATAAAAGAACTACAATGATTTGAAAGTTTGTATGCAGACATTTTCAGCTTTGAGACATAAAGAAACTTCCTGATTTACTCTTTTGTTTTCTAAATCCCTCATGCTTACAGACATCTTTTGCTAGCTAGCATGACATATGAAGAAATGGCCACAACTGTCAGTAATAACACCCACTGAGACTGGACAAAATTCTAAGTGCTGCAGCTCATGAGAAATTAACTGTGAAACACAAACATGTTGGGTCATTACATTTAATTACGTACTATTACAGGAAACTTCTGCTGTTTTTCTGCTGAAGTTAAGAGCACAGCAGCCCCCTCGTTCTGGACATGATGCTGCATTTACATTTTGTGGGAGGGAAGGGAATGTGTACAAATTGCATTCATGCCATTGGACAACTCAAGATAGCAGCTGCCAGTCGTCTTGTGCTGTTGTTTTTCACTCTGTACTGGACATTACAGCAGCCTTAGTCAAAAAGCATAAAGTGAGGCATCCATATATTCTTGTTCTTGCTGGTACTTGACATATTTTGTGGTAGATGATACGGCTTGGATGTTGAAGTGAAAAACTAATGCTTAAAGTAAGTCCGGTGTGACATGAAGCCAGCAGAAACATGCACATTTAACATTAATGTGTACCAACCACTACATGGGATATCTGCCAGACTGCATTTGCAAACAACAACAACGATCAACACAAGCTGTGTAAACACAGACACTAATATGCATAATTTGTTAGTCAAACAATACCATGAAAAGAGACTCTGTACATCTGTTTGCGATTTCTTATTTATTTATTGCTAAAAGCAAAAATGTGATAGATTTTCCAAAACCATTAGTCTGCAGCTCTGTCAGTGGTCACCAAGTCCACACCAACACACATGATACTGATCTGCAAACATTTGTATTCATAAAAGGCCATAACAGTGTGTTAAAATAAGTCGTTTGTCGTTTGAAATCCAGACTTTATTGAAAACAAAGGCTAGCTACAAGCAAATCATGCACTCTTTGCTAACAAGCAGGTCTACCTCATGGGATACTGAACATTTTCCATAAGATCTGTGCATTTAGAAGCATAAAGATCGATTTTAACGTTATTTTTTTCTGTATGATTGTCCTTTGTTTTGCATAGTACAGTATACAATCAAAAGTATTTATGTATCTGTCTGTCTAGTTATGATTATTTTGTCTGAAACTATCTTTGACTATTTTTCTTTTAGGATACGTGGGTCTTGGAACAGTGAGTGCAGCTACTTGGTGGTACCTGTTTGATGAAGAGGGTCCCCAGGTGTCCTTCTATCAGCTGGTGAGTTAAAAAAAACAGTTCTGCCCAGTCTGTTGCTTAGTCTGATGCAGCCCAGTCTTGTCCTCGGTGGATACGAGTTTATCTTCTGTAATATTTTCATACGTGTTTCTTTAAATTCCCTGCGGTTGGACACAAAAATGTGTGGCGATCCCAGCAGTGGACAGAAATAGAAAGGGAAGGAAGACCCATGTTGTTTGATCGCGAGCAGGGTGGAACGAGGCCAAGGTTCTGCAGCTGTTACCCAATCAGATCTGCGCTCCGTCAAACCGGGTCGCAGAGGTCCCGGTGACATCCTGCCCACGCACATGCAGGAGCGCCCACACAGCCCACTCATGCACGCTAACTCCCATCTGTCCGTGTCTTTACAGCGACACTTCATGCAGTGCACTGAGGAGAACCCCATGTTCCAGGAAATCGACTGTGAGGTGTTTGAGTCCCGCTACCCTACAACCATGGCGCTGTCTGTGCTGGTCACTATCGAAATGTTCAACGCACTCAACAGGTCAGTGATCTTCTGTCGTGATGTCGGGGTAAACAATCCTTAAATGTCACGGCTGGCAGATGTGGGGAAAAAAAAAAGAGAGACACTCATCCAACAAGACAGCGCTGCCTTTGAGAAAGAATCACTCGGCTGTCTGAGGGATGCCAGAAAAACACAGCATCTCTATCCACTGACTTAATGTTTGTAATGACCATATTTTTATGTGCTGCATCTGGCAAATGAAGGAATCAAGCTTAGCCACACATCTTAAGAAGTGGAATAATGCTATTTTAGGGAGGCACAAAATAGAGGGAACAGTGGCATGAAGGTAAAAGTCTGTGTGTTTTTGCCAGGATCATGAAGCAAGTCTGAGAAAGAAAGTCTCACTTAGGAAAGAATCTGAGAAAGGAAAAGCTGAAGGGCTGCCTCGTGCATGACATCACACTGATTCCAAACCGTCATTTCATTAGCTGTACAGTAATTGTGATGTTCTTGCACAAAGCTAAATAAAGTTTGCCTGAATAGTCTCATTTGTTCTTTGCTACGTGATAGAAAACTTTCATGCAAGTCATGAGTGTAGAGCTGAGCAGCTGTTGTCATTTAATAAAACTTCTCTCTTCTAGTTTGTCTGAGAACCAGTCCCTGGTCAGGATGCCTCCCTGGGTCAACATCTGGCTGCTGGGAGCCATCATCCTCTCGCTCTCCCTCCACTTCTTCATCCTCTACGTTGAGCCTCTGCCGGTGAGTTCTCAGGACGGTTGTTTGAGGTGGAGGTTGATCCTACTGCTGCTGCTGTCAGTACGGCGAGTTAAGATCGATGCAAACGGAGTAGTGTCATTGCCCTCTGACACTGATGTAGTTTTGTTAAGAATAATGTGTAATAATTGTTGTCAGATTTTAGTAATCTAGTTTTAGTCAGGGACAGCAGTGGTTAGCGCTGTCACCTCACAGCTTGAAGGTCCTGGGTTCGATTCCCAGCCTGGGGTCTTTCTGTCTCCGGCTTCCTCCCACAAGGTCCAGAAACACGCTGAGGTTAATTGGTGATTCTAAATAATCCGTAGGTGTGAATGTGCTTGGTTGTCTGTCTCTCTGTGTGGCTCTGTGATGGACCAGCGACCCGTCCATGTGAGCCTGTCCTGAGTCAGCTGGGATCGGTTCCAGCCCCCCTGTGACCTTGCAGAGGATAAAGTGGTGCATAGATGAGGAATAATATTAAATAATTTAAGTTGTAAAACTGTCTAGTCTATTTGCTTTTTAAAAAAATTTAATCTTCAGAGCATTTTCAGGTTTCTGCCCTCACTGTCTTTGTCTACAGTTACCATGGTTACATGTGTTATTTTGGTCTATGGTGAGGTTAATGAAAAAGGCTCAGTGTCCCTCTGCTCTGCAGCGAAACAACAGATGGACTCTCCTCAGCAAATCCAGTTATGGTTTCCAAACTCAGATCCGCTCTCTGTTCGTCCGGCTCGCTTAGCATTAGCTTCAGCAGCTACCTGTTCCTCTCCTCTGGAGACCAGCAGCTCATTCAGAAGATCATTTACTTGTTCGCTAACACGCTGTTGCTAAAAGATTAGATTAATAGTTAATAGTGATATTTTTCTGGTGAATATCTGGGGGAAGCTTTAGATGGAGAGCTGTCATTAATCCTGGATCTGACTCATTCCTTCTGTCGGCTTCACTACAGATTCCAGCATTAATTAGCGCATTACCTTTTCATTTAAGGGTGCACAATATTAGACTTTTGCCAGTATCGGCTCATTTTGGCTGATCGCTCGTACCGATATATGATTATACCGACTCTTATATTTCAAGTACCGATGATGTGCTGGTGTCATCATGCATCTCATCTTTTTTTTTTTTATAAATGTCAGCTGCTGCCTGCATGTTCAGAGTTTGCTTGTTTTGTTTTTCGCCTCTTGTTTAATTCTCACTGAATTGAGTTCATAAATCTGCAAATCTTTCAAGACGTGGCAACATCTGATATGATTACTGAACAGAATGGTGATGGTACTGATTGTGAGGAGCTTCCTGGTAACCGCAGTACAGCAGGTCAATGTGATACTTCTACTGATCAAGAGATGTTTTGGTTTCACTCCACGGACGCTGCAGTTCACTCAAGACTTTGTATTAATTAATCTGTTTGTTGTCATAAAATGCAAAACATTTGATCATAGTTGGAGACTAGAAGAATATTTCTTTTCTCAATGTGGCATCTAAATTATTTTCTCCACATTTTCCATTGAAGAAATTAACTGATACTCAGGCTTTCATAGGGCAGATTCTTCCTGCTATCGACGACACAAATGCTGCTACTGATTGCCTTAAGAAGAAGGTATGGTGGCCCTAAAAGATGAGGAACACACATGGGAATAGATAAAGTGCAGCAGAATGACCAGAGCATCTGAACCACGTACACCACACGTGTCTAGTATCATACAAACAGCAGAGCCAAAACAAAAACCACCCACAGAAATGCTGCGAGTCACACAGAGCGTGTTACAAAACAACACAAGTCACCCAGGGACACTGACTATATTTGGTTTTCTCACTTTCCAGTATTTTTTTTCCCAAAGTGATGTGCATGCATTATGAAGTCGGGGAAGATGTTTTTGTCATTTGCATGCCTTCCTCTGAGCTGCACTGTGTCGAGGCCGCTGCAGTGTACCATCTGACTGTCGGGTTCTCTCTGCCCTTCAGCTCATCTTCCAGGTGACCCCTTTGCGCTGGTCCCAGTGGATCGTGGTCCTGAAGATTTCCATCCCAGTCATTCTCCTGGACGAGGCACTGAAATATGTCTCCAGGAACCATCTAGAAGGTTTGTTGTTGGAATGAATCAGCCAGTTAAATAGTCAGAATTACGATTATCGCTTCACTCATGTTTTTTCCTTCTGCTCTTTTTCTCTCTGCTGCATTTCTAATTCAGCCTAAATTCTTTTAATCTCACCTTCTGTGAAAAGGTACTCCGACTTCTTTGTGCCTTCTTCCTTCTCTCTCTGAACAATGAGCACGACTTCAAACTAATGCATGTTTTTGTTTTTTACCTCCGGCAGGTGAAGAGGAGAAGAAATATTGCAGGAGATGGCAGCTGAACTAAGACCTCTCCCTCAACACACTCACACAGTTAGACACACACAGCTACCCTCTTTCCCTTTACGAGCTAGGAAACCTTTTCTCTCCCCTGCCCTCATTCCTCCTCCCCCCCAAACTCCTGCATGTCCGACCAACCACCACTAGAAACCGAGCAGGGCTTGCATGAGGACGAGTGCGCAAGAAAGACGAGTGTTCCTGCGAGCATGGCTTTGTGCAAGTGTGTGAGTAGGTGAGCTCTGAGTGTGTGTGTGTGTGTGTGTGTGTGTGTGAGAAACCAGGCAGACCTGTGTTAATAGTTGCGAGAGCGAGAAACAACTGCAGAAAAAAAAGAAGAGAAAACTGCCCCTGGCTCTGCTTTTTAACGATTTTTGCTCATTGGATTTTTTTTTTTTTTTTTTTGACTGTACAGTACAAACATAGTGGTGTGCAACTGGACTTTGGGGAGGGAGGATAGGGGGTAATACTGGGTGGGGTGGGGAGGGAAGGGAGGGTTTTAAATCAGCACAGAGACCGAAAGAGAGACTGAGAGGTGAAGCCTGTTGTGCAGAAGAGACACACTGGTGGAAGATGAGCAAGGATGTGGAAGGTGAATACAGCCGGCCCTCCAGGCGGCGTGGGAGACCCAGCGTACCCCCCATGTGTGTGTGTGTGTCCACAAAAAGCATCATCTGGAGGTGCTGCTCAGGCGTCTGCCGTCCCCCCACACACACTACTGGCACTGAGTTCCAGCCTTATCAGCACAGCACAACAGCATCTCTGGCCAGTTTGTCTCAGCGCTGCTCCTTCATCCGCTTCTTCGTCTTTCGCTCTCACCACAAACTCCCCGTCGTTTCATGCAGGATTCTTCCTTCCGCCTCCGTCTCTCCGTCTCTCTTTCTCGCTCTCTGTCCGAGGAAGGCAGCTGTGGTGGGCCCGGGGGGTTCGTGACGCTGTCGGGCTCTAGGGGGGTGTGTGTGGAGACGTGGCTCCGCCTAAAGGTGTGAATAGCTTTACGCTGCTTGGCCGCTTCCTTCGGCTCTTAATTCGAGGAGCTGAGGTCAGCTCACACACTTGGCAGAAATAAAATTTTTAAAAAATAAATAAAGAAAAATGTCAAACAGCAACCAAACCAGCATATCAGTAGAGTAGTTGTCAGCCAGCCCACCGAGCTGGGCCCGTTTAGCCTCACTGTAACGTCCATGTGCCGTGCTGCCACCGGAGGTTTAGAGTCAGATGTCTGTAGATTAAAGATGGAACAACAACACGATGCTCTGCCACGTTTTGTCCAGAACGTCTCGGAGCATCGTGCCGTTTTTTCCTGCCTTGAATCCATCCAGTTATTTCTGACCCTGAACCAGCGCTAAAGTGTGTGTGAGTGTGTGTGTGCGTGTGTGTGTGCATATAGCCTTACTTGAATAAAATTAGTCGAATTTGACCTGATAGGCTTTTCAGTCTTTGAATCGCACCGATGACGTAGTTGCAGTAAGTTAAGGACGTAAACTGCTTGATTGTCTCCCTCCCATCATGAACCATTTCTACATGAAGCACATGAAACATCCATGCCTTATACAGCCCACTGCACCTCCACATGCAAGATGTGGTCCAAATGAATGTGTTCCTGCTAACCTTTAACGAGCTTTGTACCCAGCGCCACCCGTTTCACTCGTATGTGCCCTGACGGTGACTCATACTGATCACGTGAAGACTCTGAATGTCCACCTGGTCTAAGGCATGTTTAATAGGAAACTCCCCCTTATTTTTTTTTTTTTCTTTTTGTGTTGTTGTGCTTCGTGCGCTGCTCCCTCAGCTCCTCCTTGCTCTCTCAGTGCTTTAGCGATTCACTTGGGTATTGTTTTATAATGACTAAATAATAATGTATTTGACTGAACGAACCCCGCCGGGTTTGGATTGTGTCTTTTTAAGTCTTAACTATGGTTTTGTGTGTGTGTAGGGCCCTTGTGCTCTGTGGACTGGGTCAGCGGTGTTCTTGGTCTCTTGATGCTTCCACATACTGTATTGTAGACGAGCGTGCACATTAAACCATATAGGTCAAAAATCTGTGCGCTGTGTCAGCTGGAATGAAGCGATGGTTTGATCTTCAAGTAGGAGCTGCAAGAAAAAGAAATCCCCAAATATTTAATGCTCTCATAAAACAAGACATTTCATGGCATCAGCTTGTGCTTCATGATGTAGTTTTGGAAGGTTTTCGGATCATTAACAGACTAATTCATTGATCTATAATAATCAGGAATCATCAAAGTCGCCGTTAGCTGCAGCCCGACTTCAGGAGCAAACTGTTGAAATGAAATTGCTGACACAGCGTCCAGATCCTTTCCTCTTTTTCCCGCCCTTTTCTGGACGTCTGATCTGATTTCAACAAGTCATTCCCACTTAGAGCGCGGTTTAGAATCTGAAGGGAAATCCATCCGTTAGCGACCGATCTGCTGTTGCTTACCGTCCTGTACCCATCTACTAGCCTTACTCCGTTGGGAAAACCAGCTTCTCACGGAGCGCCGACGCCTCCGATGTCTCGCGCTCTCTGGGTTTCGATCTCGGATCAGCAGGAAATCGGTTTAAAGTGGACGGAGGAAAAGTACACTATAAAGTTTAAGCATTTAGATTCAAGGGTGGACTATTCCTTTAACTTTTAGGCTAGACGTTGGAGATTTTTGATGATACTTGACATAAAACAGCCTTCACGTTCAGTAAGTTTTTGTCGTCACCACCATGAGAATGTGGCTCGTCTGTCCGGACCAGCAGACCTCCTGTCCCCCCGTCCCAGGTCTCCATGGCTCTGTAACATGCTGGCCCTCTGGCCTCCAGGCACTATAGGTCTGTATAGCCTTGTAATTTACTACTGAATCCTCAACTCTGTACAGACGACGAGAATATGATCGCATGGAACCTTGTTACTGTAATAATAACCTATACAGTATATAATATTTAATTTTTTGATAACTTACATCAACGAACCTACTTACCAACAGACAGACTTGCGAGAAAGCTTTTTTTTTTCTTTTGTTTTTTTTTTAATTTTTCTTTTTTGAGCACATGGTATCTAAGGATCTCCTTTTGTTTTTGTTTGTTTGTTTGTTTTGTAGAATAGAAAGGTTGTTTCTTCATTGTTCCCGTTTGGTTTTTACAGTTGCTGGGGTTTTGTGTCTTTTACTGTAGGGAAAAAAAAAACAAACAAAAAAAAAACACGAATACGACGTTATCATGTTTAAGATAGACAAGAATAATTGCTTTACGCTAGTTAACGGCGGTGACGCGGATCATTTCAGCGACGGCTATCTGGTGTGAGAACGTTCAAGAACTGGTGAATGAACTGTGTCTGGTTTACACACTGAGCGATAAGCAGTGATGAATCCTGGGTTATGAAGTTTTATGACTGTATAGTGAAGGGCTCGGTGCGGATGCAGGCTCTAGAGACTCCCTTTTTGGGTCTGACATTTGGGATGTTGCACGGTACTCGCTGTCCTGTACAATCTGTAAAACAATAAGAGCCTTCAGGTTCCACAACATCTGGCCAACGCTTCCCTCTTCCCCGTCTGCAAGTGAACGGTCTCTAGAGCCTGAGTCCCGCCTCTGAGAAATTAAAAGGATTCTCTGTGTTGCCTTGTTAATATTAATTGTGGACACATAATTTTATAAATGACAAAGACGTGGAAATAAAGATTATTTATCTTGTTATTTATTCAGCGGCTGTGTTCTTTTTATGTGCATTTTTAAACACAAGGTTGTTTTTTTTGTGTCTCAACATCTTTCTTTTTTATTTTTTTGGCACTTCTTAATAAGAAATACTTTTAATAATGTCATTCTAGTGCTCTTACAAAACAAATACCAAACAATAAAAACATTTCTCGTTGCAAACAGGTCACGTAAGTTACAGTTTTTTGCTCTGTGAATAATGTACAGTACTTTTGTGGTACTTGAGTATTTCCATTTTACTTCTACTGCACTACATTTCAGAGGAAATGCTTTCTATGCAGCTGCAGTTATTGGTTAACCTTGGTTGCTTTTATGATGAAGATTTTACACAATCGATAACATAACAAGCTTTAAAACACGTAGTTAAACATTAAATCATTGCTGTTCGGGTTTTTTGGCCTTTTAGAAACAGCAGTGTGTCGTCTATAAATTGTTAAAAGCTCCACCTCATAGTGATTTATTTCCCTCTAAACCTCTCTTGTGGTTTAATTTCAACAAATCTTCAAACGATCCCGTATCTCAACAAATTAGAGAAAAATCTAAAAGCTGAAAACGGACTTCTGTGTCAGATCTGTGTTTTTTTCCCCCTCTTTTCTCTCCCGTTGTTCATCTGACAAGCCCTCAGATGTGTCTGAACAACTTTAGGTAACATAGTTCAAACTGCGGCAGCTACAACAGGAACATGCTGCTGACTCAGTGCTGCTCCACTAATGATACTTCAGTGAGCTCGTATATAAGAGTCAGAGGGACCAGAACTTTGCTTCATGCAGAACTTTTACCTAAAGTTTTTACATACCTTAAGTAAAAGATCTGAATACTTTTTCCACCACTAATGTTAGAAACAAAACAAGCTGCTTCTTGGATTTAGAGTCAAACAGTTGAAGGGTTTGTTTTTGAATGAAACTGCAAGTTCCCCATGTGGTCAGTGGAAGCACAAATAGATTTAAGAATGCAAGTCCAGACATGCAAATAACATAAAATTAACAATATTGTTCTGAGTAGTTTCTGATCCATATCTGTGTCACACATCTTAGCCAGGTTGAGCTAGGTTTTAGTTTAGTTTAGTTGAGATTTTGGGATATTTTGCTTTCAGACTCTTGTGAAGAAACCATCCAAAATACACGTTTGAATCTTCATGTTAATGGACTTTTTCTTATTTAACTTTCATCCAAATTAGCAGATATTTAATGAGATGGTGTGACATTTTCACATTTAGTCATAAAATTTAAGGAAACATGAAAAACT